GTATATCATTTGAGACGGCCAAAACGTGCCTCATCAAAATAACGTGTTGGGATCTTAGGACTCTTTGGACCAAATCCATTTCAGGGCATTTGGAGTCTATCTAGCGATGTCCGTCCGTCTGTCTGGCTGGCTGCTGCGCACAATAACTCTCGAAGGAAGTATCCGATTTGATCCGAACTTGGTACATCGTAATATTATTATTAAACTTAGATCAAGTTCGGAAATGGGCAATATCGGTCCACTCCTTATCCCTCTCCCGCACACAAAATGTCAACATTTTCAAGGTAAATAATTTACTGCACAGAAAGAGAAGGGATAAGGGATTGCGTCAGCGCTAGGTCAGATGTGAAAATCATCCAGTACCTCCCCCACAAATGGTCAAAATTTTGAATAATTACAACTCTCATAAAATGTGTTGTAAGAGTCCGATTGTCTTGAAATTTCACACATCCCAATATTTATATTAACCCAAAGTCTGGTGTTAAGATGGGATATATCGGTCCACATCTTCTGGTACCACCCCCACAAAAGGTCCAAATTTTGCATATCCATTAAGCTCATAAAACGCGAAATTAACATCGGATTCTATTTAGACTTGGCATATCTGAATATTTCTATCAACACAGGATCTGTTAAAAAACTGTAGAGATCGGACCATTCCTTCTGCACCTCCCCCACAAAGGGTCAAACGTCAAAACGTTTATAAAATCCGAAATAAGCATCCAGCTCTTTTTATATTTTACACATCTCATTATTTCTCTGCTGTGAAGATGGGATATACCTCCTCCACAACGGGTCAAAATTTTGAATATCGACGAATCTCATAAAACGCGAAATTAATATCAGCTTCCATTCAGATTTGGTACATCTCAATATTACCATCAACACAAAAATTGTTACAAAGATCGTACCATTCCTTCTGGTACCTTCCCCACATTGGGTTCAAAAACGAAACAAAACGCTCAAAGAGATCGTAATTTTCTTCTTCTAATTTTCTTCAAATTTCACACATCCAAACATTTCGGCTAGCACAAAATCTGTTGTGAAGATGCTATATATCTGCCAACCCCTCTCCGACAAATTGTCACAATTTCCCATGCTTTTATCTGTAATATCTGCGAAAAAAAAAGTCGGCGATTCTTCACAATTTGCTACATCTAAATATTTCTCTCAACCAGAAACCTGATATGATTATGTAATTTGTCGCAATTTATGATATGGTTTCGCATAAAATTGGATATAAATGTTCAATTTCCTTCAAACATTGGTAATATTGGTAATATTTTTATCTGTATTAGATGAAGTATGAAAATGGAATTCTTCGGCAGCTATATCTGTCAGAAATGGAATTTATCGGCAGCTATATCTGTTACCTCACGCCTATTTTCACATTTTCCAAAAATGTACACAAATCTCTTATAAAGTAAAGGAAGTAGTCAATATAGTCCAAATCTGACACGTTGTAATATTTTTATCAGCCTGCGGAACCTCCTTCATAAAGGGTCAAATTTGTTTTTATTTAATGTTTCATCCTTAACAAATCTACCTTCAATGAAAATACATGTAATTGAAAGTGGTACTTTATGGATTAATTCAGCGTTCTAAGCGTTTGATTTTACCGAAAATACATGTGACATAGTGATTCTGTCGTAGCAATTAGATTAAATAGAACTTTTAGAGGTTTTGCAAAAGTGTATCGCACTGTCGACTCCAATTGTTGAAATCAATATCTAATGATTTGCCTTTAAACAATCGGCATTCAATACATCATCGCCATTAAGAAAGTACCTCTAATTAAACATTTAATTTATTACATTAAGATTGGAATTTAGAATTAAATATAGGCATCTTTACGACCAAATTGTAAAGCTTGTTATACAGAAAGGAAAAAATCGATATGCATCTATCGTATCGTAATTTAAGTATTCTGAAATATTAATGAAAATTTATAATCATTTAATTGGTTAATTAAGTTGAATAGTTAATTTCTAATAACTTTCCGCGTGCGAATCAAACGATCGGCCATAAGCATACAATTAACTACGGATTGAATGGTTGTGGTGCTGGTGGGGATGATGCAAGTTGTGTCACATTGACTTTCTTCCAAAGCTGGTGGGACAAAATAGAAAAAAAAAGCGTCGTCTAAACAAAAACCCATTCTGATGGATTGCAATTATTTACAATTGTTTCGATTCGTCAAAACTAATTAAAATTGAATTCATTTGCTAGATGTTTTCATAACAATGCGAGCCGGCCAATTAATTAATTGATAGACCGACCGCCTGAGTGAGTGATTTAGATAAGACATTGAATGGATAACATATTCCCCCGGGGGCACGTCAACATCGTAAACTTGGAGTTTTTATTTCATTTTTGCAACCATAATTCACAATTTGAGTATTCATCTATTCAATGTTAGATGGGAATTTTTTAAATGTAGTTATAAAAAAAGACACTTGTTTCTTTATTCGCAACTCGAATGACGTCTTAGAAAATTTTGTTATTTTCTTTTTTTAATAATGTAAGATATTTCTATTTGATGCTTACGACATTTGCCGCAATGTTGTTACAGCTTGTATTTCACAACTGGAGCATGGGAACAAAGCGTTATAGTCTTTGACTTGCCGCCAGGCATAGTGATCGATACCAAATGTAAGAATTTAATCTCGGGTTTTGGGACAAGCCTTGTTCGAAGTTTCTTACTTTCGCCTAGGCAATGAACGACCTTCAAACATGGTTTGATTATCATACAAGGTAAGATGAAAAAACTGCTACCAACTTCAGACTGCTGGCATTTCTAAGCCACTTTTCCGACAGCTGTTAAAATTTTTCCAGTGACAGCTATTGTTTACAAGCGTACAAAAGCATTTTGGTGAGAATTTTCCAGATTTTTTTTTTATATTTGGCTGGAAAACCGCATGTGGCTATCGTTAGAGCACTCCAGCATTTAAATTTAATTAAATCTTTTGTCTCGTACCATCGCTCGTTACCGTGATACTGGTAGCGTAGCCCGACATCGAGGAACTGGACGGAAGAAAACAGCAACATCAGCAGAAATGCTTCGAAAAGTAAAGAAGTGACTTGATCGAAACCCGCGCCACAGTGGCCGAAAAATGGCTCGTGAGATGAAGATATCGGAATATTCCATTCAGCAAATATTTGAAAAATGAGCTCGGGTTAAAGCCATTGAAATTCCCAAAAGTGCAAAAACTTACACCGCAACAGAAAGAAATAGACTCAAAAGAGCTAAAGAGTTGCTTCGCTTGGCCGAAAGTGGTGAACTGCCGAATTTGATTTTTTTCCGATGAGAAAACATTCGATGTCCAGCAGTTTGTAAACAAACAAACTGATCGTGTTTACTTGGCAAAGAGATCAGCTGAGAATGTGTACCTTCGGTTGGCCACCGGAACTCAAGCGCCGGCCATGGTGATGGTGTGGGCCGCCATAACAGCCAATGGTCGCTCTCCGCTCTTATTAATCGACCGTTGCGTCAGAATAAATGCCGAATATTACCGCGAAAATATTCTGGAGGATGTATTAAAGCCTTGGGACGCAAACATTTTGGCCGCAGACCTTGGACATTTCAACAGGACTCAGCACCATCGCACTCAGCACGCGCCACCAAAGAAGGGTTACAAAATGAGGTTCCTCGCTTCATTTCCAACGCACAATGCCCACCAAAATCTCCGGATACCAATCCGTTGGACTATTGTGTCTGGAGTATTTTGTAACGAAGGGTTAGCACCAAAAATAACAAAGTGTCGATCACCTCAAGCAAGCGCTTCGCCGGGAATGGGCCAAAATACCACAGAGCAACATTCGGGCAGCGGTTTCACTGGCCGTGGGAAGGCCATAATTCGTGCCAAAGGCGATCAATTCGAAAAAATCTAAACTTATTCTAAAATTTGATGCTATTTCCGACATTTAAATTAATTTCAATTCCGACAATAAAATTAAAAAAAAAAAATAATAAAAATTATGGCTTTTAACTTTGTTTCAGTTTTTTTATTTCACCCTGTAGATCTCTGTAGTTATTAATGTGCAGCTACTTACTTTGTTAAACGAAACAAAATTGCAATCTTATATTTTGATTTATTATTTTTTATTATTTGTTCATTCTTAGAATATATGCAAATAAATAATTAATAAATTGTTTGAATACTTCATGTATTATAAACAATATTTTTATTACGGGATTTTCTTCTATATGTTGGTTATATGTTATGTTCTTTATGTATATATGCTGCATGTATAGGTCTAGTATTCGTAATTACGGTTGTTCGTTTCATATAAATATCGAAAAATATTTAATATTATTCAATAAACTGGGATATATAATATATATATGTAAGTGGGAGAGGACACACAATTGTTGTAGATAATTTTTTTGTCTGTATATATATAGAAAATTGATTATAATAACGCATTATTAAAGAATTAAAGTCATCATATAATTGGGTATTGTTATAGGGCGAGGGTAGGGTAGAGAAGAAAAAGTTGCCAACATTTAAACATACAAAGATTTGAAGGGGAAAAAATGGAAATTTTGGCCGAGGGTCATCATTATCATCATCATAGAACAACATTCATTCATTCATTGCATAGCTATTGCTTCCGTATATTATTAGGCTTGTGGCTGTTTCGGTTTTGATATTAATTATAATAATATATAATTACAGTTACAATAAATAATTACTTAAATATACATATGTGTATGGTATAAATTTTTTATAACAAATAATATTTCCGTTTTTCTGTTTTTTTTTTTTTTTTTTTTTTTGTTTTTCAAATATCATACAAACATCATAACAATTTTTTGTGTTTATCATAAAACTAATTAAAATATAAATGTGGGTATCATTTTTGTTTTTTTGTTAGAAATTTTAGAGAGAAATAGAATACCACTACAGATTTACACCATGCTGCTAATAGGGGGAAAAATATTAAAAAAAATATATAATATAATAACAAAAATTAATAAGAAAATAATGCTTCACAACTTTTCCGTTTTGGATTTTATTGTTCAAAATAATCCATGGTTTTAATAAATTTCACCACCGACCCAAATAAGGTCCAGTAAAATTGCTCTTCGCCATCTAATTTGTCACCAATAAAGCAAGTAATATATTCAACCGTTGACAAGAGATAAGGTGGATTAGCCTGTTGTGGGGTATGCCAAAGAAAGGAAGGACTAAGAACCAAACATAATAGAATTAAAAAGATTTTTAAACAACTTACCATAATAACAACATAAATGAGTACGGGTAATATATCATCTGCCGCTGGGACTCTACCACTGGACATGTGCAGTAAACTCATTATGCTCGAGATACATCTGCAAAAAACCAACAAAGTAAAAATAAATAGAGAATAATATTTTGGAGTAATTTCAATTTTTGTTTAATAATTTGTGTTAATTTGTAGAATATTTAAAATCGCAAGGCTCATATTCATAAAACCTCAATTTTCGATCACATTACAGGTGCACTATGTTTGGCACATATTGTGGATATGCGAAAATATAGAAATGTTTAGATACAACACCGAGTTTTTTTGATAGCGGTGGTACCGGAAAACCAATTTCAACGAGGATTAGATCCTACGTTATGCTAACGACGCATGATTCCATCAAAATTAAATTTTCCTGGCCAAACCTAAACCTTTTTTTTCGCCCCCCAATTTTAATTTTTATTTGAAATGCATATTAAAACTAAGGAAATCTAAAAATTAGGAACAAAATCTCTTCTATTTGCCAAAACATGATGCATCATAGATCTGACTCGGTGCGATGTAATGGATGCAGAGAACAGAGTGTGGTTACATTATATTATATGACGACGTGATGTAACAACGTAGTATTCAGCGGGTTACGTGTTCGTCGAAGTATGAAACTCCACCGCCGTCTTCACACACCACCAACTTCTGCCGCAGCATCTTTTGCCACACGTTAATGTTTCTACTCCGGATTGTGCATCCGTTTTGCAATTCAATTGCAACGGACTCCGCGGCAAAATAGAAGAGCTAGTGGAAATTCGAATCAGAGAAATACCTTGATCGCAGTGGTGCAGGAAACCAAGCTCAAAGAGAAATTTAAAGCCTACATAGTTGTTATGCTTAAATGTATCGAAAAAGGTCGCAACAGAAGTGAGGATGAGGAGATTAGCGTTCCTTTTACGCCATTCTGTTCAATACGTTAATGAAATGTATTGGGGGTAGCAGTGAAGTGTGGAGCTATCGAGGTAGAGGTGTTTAATGTGTATACCCCGCCAATAAAAAGCAGTGAACAGATTTATTTCTCAAACATTAGCACAATTTTGGAAAACACTATACGCCTGGTACCTTGGCATTTCAATGTCCACCACGAAATGCGGGTCTCCGTTATAGGTAATGTCCATAGGGTATCTGCGTTGGCAGAGCAGATTGATTGATCCAAATTATGCACGGTAAATGAAAATTAACCCACCCGAATAAGAGGAGAATGTCATAGTTCGCCAGATTTAAAAATAGTATCATCCGGTCTGATAAACGCCCCTCGGGAAATGAACTGCCCAACCCTCTTTGGGTTCGGTAGAGCCGCAGCCACGTTTTACGACGCAACGTTGACTTATCTGAAGAGGGGCACTGGTCACTTTAATCGCCAATTTTTCGAGCACCCCAACAGTGATAGGCTGAAGCAAAAACTTTATTCGTTGTATAAGATCTCTTCCCGCCGACGAGTTACCACCACAGTTTACGATGCGCCATATTGCAAATGTCATTCGGAAGTCATCCAAAATGTTGGCCCCGGACGGACTATCAACGGTTATATAGAAACAAGTGGATGCGGCGAGTGTTGAGTATCTGACAAATGCAATCAACCTGCCGCTAGTCACCTACAACGTCTCAGAAGCCTGCAAAATGGGCTGTGTGGTACCGCTGCTGAATTTAGGAAAGGATGTCAGATAATTCGGATCATACAGGACGATTTCGCTATACACCTCCCCATTCCATTAGAGGAATCTATCCAATAACCGACCATCAATACGGATTCCGGATTCCTGAGGATTTACTCCCCGTTCCATTAGAGGAATATATCCAATGACCGATCAACAACAGGGATTCCGTATTCCACAACAGCATTGCACGCCATATCCACACATATTGGTCGAGAACTAACTTAGACCAAGCCTTGGCATTGAACAGCGTTGGTAGCCCTTGACTAATCAAAGGCATTTGATACGATCATGCCACACTGCTTGACTATGTAGAGTGAACTACCCTCCATCAAGTTTGAAACGTTGGATAACCAACCAACAAGAAGTCCAAGCCCCGTAGAGTGAAACAGGGAGTTTCCCAATCTGGGTGACATTTCTGAGCGATAGGTCGAGGTAGTGCTACTCAGTGGGAGCGTAATTAGACCCGCCAGAATGCTGTGCTTAACGTGTGTCCAGCATGAGATACAGGCCTGCATACTCACTGCATTTTAGAATTGCCCTGCCAAATCTACAGAACTCACTCACGCATACCTATAGATTCCACCCTTATCCTTTGCAGAAGCCCATCAATGTGAATATATAAAGGCAATACGCAATAGTCCCAACATTATTATAAACATAACCTGTACAGGTCGCTTCCTCTTGAACTTAGACACCTATTATCTTCGGTGAGTTAAGAAATGTATTGGATATTAAATTAAAGTTTATACTTCTTTTGTATTTCAGTGCTAATGTAGAAAGATCATGGTCTTATCCTGTTCTTCCCATATGAACTTAGAAATCAATTCTCCTCGACAACTTAAGAAACGTATTGGATATTAACGTTAAATCTGTTGAACTTTTTCCTTTTATCTTGTTTTTTATGTCCATGAGAAGAATATAAACCAAAATAATATCTTACCTTACAACACATTGAAGTTTTTCACGTGGAGTCTTATAGGCCGATATATATGACAATTGTTGTTGGGCAAAACTCCATGGGGCTTCGGATAAATAAATCTGTGGTATACACAAGGCGGAATGGGATGGTGTTATGACATTTTGTAACTTTCGTATGTGTTCCGATAAGACCCTGAAAATATTTAAAATAAATAAATTAGAAACAAATAAACGAGAAAACCTTTTTTGCAATACTCACGTATCTCTTGACAAGTCCGCATCTTCATTGGGAAACATCACCTGCCGATAGATGTTCTGCAATAGAATGCGTTCCAAAGCCAAACGTGCCTCAATTGCCTGCCATTCTGGCATACCATTTAGAATGCCACCCGGTGCAAGCAACTCGGCGACAAGACTATCAAGAAACTCTTCAATCAAATCGATTTTATCATCCGACACACTGCGTTGGGCAAATTCTTCTTGGAATGTTGCGAAGCTATCTTGTTTCTTTTCGAAGAATAAACGCATACACAATGCCATTAAGTAGCGATTACATGTTGAACTTTCACTTCTTAATCTAGATTCGAATTGTTCGATATTTTCCATTATCATAAGGAGGTTTTGACGATAACGCATTAAATACTGCAGATAACTTTGGCGTTTTTGAATGTCATTTTGCAGCTCCTGCATTAGTTGTGTATGCTGGGCAACGTCTAGCGTCGATATACAACGTATCGCTTCCGATACATACGAGATTTGTTGGAAATTTTGTAGATTTATAGCTTGCGCCAGCTGTATTTGAAGATATGTTAGCAGGGGTGAAATGTTGGCATGCTGAAAAAAATGGAATTCGGTTTTAATTTTGTTTTCTTTTAATTAATTTTGTATTTGATGTTAAAATATTTACCGTTGTATGTCTGAAATCTCCAGAATGTAAATCAGTCTTTGACAATACAGTTCGTATCTTCTTCTTGATAATGTTGAATGTAAGGGTCTTATCGTGCATGGATGGATGTTGATTATTGTTATTGCTGTAAGTAAATATAGATATAGTTATTTTCCAAAAATGAAAACCCAACAATATTTGCTTGGCCCAAGGATGAACCCTATTGAAATTGGTGAGAATCGGTTTAAATTTACATATAGCTCCCATATATATCTTCAGCCGATTTCAGGTTAATGACAAATGACATTTCCGACGGAATTAAACATAGAAGCAAGTTTATTTGGTGAAAATCGGTTCAGACATAGCTTTAGCTCCCATATATATATGATTTGGGATATTAAGTCCCTCACATTCGTAATATGAACTCCAGAAGAATGATATTTGGAAAATAACTTTGCAAAATTTTATCGAGATCGGCTAAGATTTGGGTATAGCTCCCCCATATATATCTTCAACCGATTTCAGGTTATTTGTGCACCAAATGGCCAATATCAGCCCAAATGACCTAAATTTTGGCGCATCCTATTGAATTCTGTCTAGAAGCAAGTACATCACGTTTTATGCCCTTCCTCCATAATATGCACTCCACAAGAATGATATTTGGTACCTAATGGAACTAAAATATTATGGAACTAAAATACATCTGTCAAATTTCATCGAGATCGGCTAACGTTTGGGGGTTTATTGTACAAATAATGGCTAATATCAGCCCAAATGCAGTAAGTTTCGGGACGTATGTTTTCATTTGGTAAATCCTTCTCGAAGTGATATCATGCACTCTAAAGCAATGTTATTTGGTATAAAAATATTTCCTTGAAAATCGATTCAGAATTGGATATGCCTACCATATATTAGTTCCCTCTGGAACCAAATGTTGATAGGTGGTATGATCTACTTCAAATAAATTCATTTGTTACGGGAGCTCTACTAAATATGCATAGTGGTGTAGGATATATAGTCGGCCCCGTCCAATCTATTCTTTTACATTCCAATAATCCTTACCTTGAAATTTCTTTGCTCGACTCTTCAATGGTTGATCCTCCAACAGCACCGCCGCCTCCGCTTGCACCATTACCAATCGATGAATTGGTCGCCTCACTTGATGTGCTTACTTTCCGACGATACTTGGCTAAAATATCCTCAGTTATGTCATAATAACCGCCCACGGCATTACGATCCTGATTCGATGCAGCTGCTGCTGCTGCACTTGTACTTGGTAAATTGGCACCTAAGAGATCCAGAGCAACCTCTGATGTGTTGTTAGAAAATGAAACACTACGCGGACATTGTGTGATTTCATCACTGTTCGCATTGGCGGATCCATGACGAGACTTATGGCCACGTCGATGTTTGAAGATACCCTGTTTTAATTTATTGAAAATTCCCGCCGAATTCGAGGATGCTGGATTAAGACTATTTGTACGCATCGTATCGGGTAAACGTGATGATGCAGACCTCTGGTGTCTGGAGGTACTTGACCCTGCCGCTGCTGCCGATGTTGATGCGCCATGTACCTTATCGGCTGAGGCATCAAAACTAATGCTCTTGGGTATGGCACCCGTTGATTTCGTTGGTTTTGTCGAGGGCGATTGTGTCATAATACCACTGGATGCCATATTATTTGTGGGTGTGTTGCGAGCAGCCTCCAGAGAATTATCCATTGTGCTGTCATCGTTGTTGTCATTATTATTGTCTTGGTGGATTTGTAACTCTGAAGTCTTATTGCACAATTGTAATAACTCGTCCGATTGCTGGGGCTTCTTCTCGGTTTTATTATCATTGTCAGGCGATAGATTTGGCATGGCTGATATTCTAGTGGGCACAGTGTTGAGAACAATTTCATGATTCTCATAATTCAAGGACTGGTGGCGACGCAAATGTGGCGTTGAACTTGAGCCACGCTCCGAAGATTCACGACCCCCCTTTAGGGCCATAATACCATTACGTCGCCCGTCATCATGTAGATTATTACTTTGGCGACGTTCCACAAGATCTTCGTTCAGGCTATCGGAATGCTGCAACGGTGGTTCGGGTGGAGCTATTGAAGGCGGTGTCAGATCTTTGTCATCACAAAAATCTGAAAAGTCTATCAGATCTTTTGATTCGTTGCTGGCATTACGTTTTTTACGAGAGGTTGAGGCAAAGGGGGAGGGTAATTTGGCTGCTGCTGCTGCGCCTTGTTCTTCCAGACTTAGACTTTGATTGGAAATACTACTTTCCGCTGAAGTTTGTCTTCGCATTCGATTTCGATGGGCATTGGCTGCGGCCGATGATGTGCTCGGCGTAAGAAACGAATCCTTGTCATCGCCACCATCATTGGCAATACACTTATAGTTCTGTTGAAAACTATCCTCAGCTGTTCCATGTTGATTTGTGGTCCTAACCGAACTTCTGGCCAAGGAGGAACCATCGCGATAGTGATGCTGCGATGGATTATTTGCAATGGGATTTGAATTGTCATCATACGAATTGACGGCATCGTAGAAGGGCGAATCTTCTTGAGAACGATCACTGGCATTGCCACCACTGCTGCCTCCACTTATATTAACATCATCCACACTACCCGTGGAGGGAGGTTTGGCAGCAGCAACATTCTGTGAGGCCATTGAGGGTCTAGAAGAATTGCGATTTCCCCTGGCTCCCATGCCTGAGAAAAATTGCTCCGACAACGAAGGACGGCCATGATGGCGATTTGAGGGTGCCGATGATATGGCTGCTGCCAATTGGTTTCTCTCCCTCTCCGAACGCAAGCTAATCAACGAAGTATCTGATCTGGCTGTAATGCTGGCATTGTCATCTGTATCAACTTCATTTAGTTTCTCCGAGTCGGAGGCCAATACATCTGTACTCCAATTCGATTCTGATCTTTGATCCGATGCATCTAAATATCCCGCCCGAACATCAAAATTATTATCTCCTGGCAATATGACGGCGGCCGGTATTAATGGTGTTGAGAAATTCCTTTCTCTTTCCCTTTCCACAGCATCCACCGCCTCCGAATCACTGGCCAATACATCTGTAGACCAGGTATCTGATATTATCGAAACAGTTTCATCTCCCTCAAATTTCTTAATTTCAAATTTACAAAATTTATCTTCAATATCGGAGCGGGCCTTCGAAATGAGTTTCTGCATTTGTGGTGTGGGCAAGGCATTATTTAGAGATTCTCCATCGGTCACCATGGAGGAGGGTGTATCTCGACCACTGATGTTTGGTGTACCTCTACCTGAAACATTGGCTGACACCATATCTGAGAGGTTGTCATTTTCTGCATTCTCCTCAAGTTCCAAGGAACTGGTAACCGAGTGATTAGATGGCACCTCACTGACTGCCTCCAAATTATCTGAGTTTCCAATGGAGGCATCATCGTGAGACAATGAAAATCTTGGATTTTTATTATGCAATGGTCTTAGAACATCTGACATTCCATCAATGCCATCGAAACCATTAACCACAGAAGATTTGTCAACTGTCAACTCCTGCTGATAATTTTCCGTATCCACCAAATCACTGTTATCCTGGCCAATGCTATTCATTTTCAAGACTTCATCCTCGGACAATGGTTGCAGTTTTTGCTCACCACTACAATTGTATAAATTAAATATCAAAATCGGTTCATTATCCACCACTTCGGGAGCCAAGGATCGAGTGGGAGATGAATGATTGGAATTGTGATTGGACGACGATGATGATGGATTATCCAAACCATTGCCATTAATATGATGACCATTTACCATTAAGGAATTACTCGATGAAGATTCACTATTGCCATTTGTACTAAAACTCATGGTTTTGGCCAATTTACTTTTGGTAGCTTTGCTAATTAGAGATTGCTTTGATTTCTCCTTGGCCGGTGAATCATTGGCTGCCTGTACTGCCTCCGCCGAATTGCCGTTGTGATGAACACTACTTTCTGGTAATTGTTTGAGGATTTTCTTTAATTTATCCTTATCTTCCGTTGGCACATCGTACTCATCCGATGCGGTTAGTATGCGAAAGAAATCAATGAAATAATTCAAATCTCTTTGAGTGGCCAACAGCTGGGTACGATCAAAATCACTCTGCTGCGCCAATATGGCCACAACATCTTCGCCCGTTTGTGTCACCAAGAGTAAATCGATTAATCGTGTTACCATATTCGATTCAAATTTCCCGTATATTTCGGCATAGCACGCATCAATTTGATCGTGTCTGGTCAGTGCCAACATTTGTATAATATGACAGATTTGCATTAAATTGAATTGCACCTGTTCCGATATTGGGGCATCAATTATGCCCATTACATCGGGACTGATTATTGCCGGACAAATGAAGTGGGTAAACACCATGTCGGTGATTATTTCATTCATGATTTTCTCCGAAAAATGATGTGATTGCTTCAGTAGATGGCACATTGTTTGCACTAGCCATCGCAATGTGGATGGAAATAGTGACCAATTATTAAGTAAGCTATCAATAAAGGTCTTGGCCAGGCTATGCAATTTCGTTATTGTCTCTTTGTGGAATTTATCAATGTTCTCGGCATATGAGACTGAATCCTCGGGACCAAATCTGCAAGAAGAGGGAGAGAAATATAATTCAATTAATGAATACATTGCTATTTTTCAATTGATTTTTAAATTTCAATCACAAATAATGACATGTGTTGAGGTATTAAATAAAGGAATGGAAACATCCACGTTTTTAGCTCTTATATTCCTTGAAAAGCATATATATACAAAATCCACGATTAAAATTCCGATAGTCCTTGAGAAATATTCCCAAAGAGTTAAAAAGTACAATAATTGTTATTTTTAAGCATCAAAAAAAAAAAAAAAAATAAAAAATACATGATTATGGGCGCAAGAGGTGGCCCAAAAATACTGTCAGCCAGTAAAGAAAGTACTAAAGGCGGTCGAGGCGGTCATATAATACCCTAGAAAACTATGCATGTTTATTAGAGATACCCCTAACAAATCATACTAAATATGAACTTTTCTGAACTCTGAGTCGGTTTCCACCAAATTTTACCAAGGCATTTATACCTCTCGTACTAAATAACAATGCTATAGTGCTTGACTCATTGTGGGGTGGGGGGTACTAGAAGGAGTGGTCCGTTCAATCTGTTTTTCATACCAGACCTTGTGTTAGTGGAAATGTTGAAATGTGCGAAATTTGGAGATAATCGGACACTTAGTTCAAATTGTTTAACCTTTATGGGGGAGGTACCAGAAGGAGTGTTCCGATATCTACCATCTTCTTGTGTTGATAGAAATATGGGTATGTGCCGAGTTTGAAAATAATCGGACTCTCATTTCGCGTTTTGCGAGCTTCATGGTTATTCAAAACATTAATTCGTTGTGGAGGAGGTACCAGAAGTAGTATACCAATATTACCTATCTTCCCAATCTTCCAGATTTTTTGTTAACAAAAATATTGGGATATGTAAAATTTGAAGACAATCGGACTCTTATTTCTCATTTTATATCAGTTTTAATTATTCCAAATTTTGACCCTTTTTTTGGGGGAGGTACTTGATGGAGTAGACTAATATTGCCCATTTTCAAATCTGACCTAACTCATATAGAAAAAATGAGGATTTGCAAAGTTGGGGCAAAATTGGACTATCCTTTCTCTTTTTGTGCAGTAAAATTTTTTTTTTTATAGATTTGACCTTTTGTGGGGGAGGTACCAGAAGGAGTGGTCCAATATTGCCCAACTCCGAACACGATCTAAGTTTGACAATAATATTACGATGTACCAAGTTTGGGTCAAATCGAATACTCTCTTCGAAAGTTATCGTGCGCACCAGACAGACGGACGGACATCGCTATGGGTCCTTTTCGTTTCCTTCAGCATGTTACAAGCAAATACATAATACTCTGTACCACAGTGTGGCGTAGGGTATAAAAATCCTCGTTTGTAGCTCCTTGGGTTTGGCTCAAGAAACGACTCTAAAACTATTCATGTTTGGTAGCTCTCAGATTTGGCCCAAAAAAATTATTCTTAAAAATCCCCAATCTGATGAATCAATCGCCATCAATGTAGTAGATACCCACCTCCTTATTCGCTCCTTGCTACTGAAACCCTTTATAATTTTTTGCGGATCCACATCGAGTATGGTATCCGTTTCGGTCAACACACTCATTATGGGCTGAAATAGGGCAGCGGTCAAAAAGATTTTTGCCGAAAACATTGACTCGTTCAAACGATGATATAGGCGGGAAAAAGATGAAGCATTTGCTCTTAACAAGCGCCGTGGATTATCACTGGTAACAATTTGTATTTCGATTAGCTCTCTCAGCAGCTTTAATGTCATTTCCACATCTTTGGTATTGATGGCATTGCCAAAGAGGCCTGTACTTATGGTCTGGATTACCGATTGCTGGTGATGTGGTGAAATGTCAGCAATTCTATCGCCCGTCGCCAGGGATACAGCCAAAATATATGGTGATTTGTAGAGATAATTAAATAATTCCTCGTACGCAATGGCATGCTGAAATAAAAGATGCGATTGAAATGTGTCTAGAGCTTGTATTTAAAATTCTCACTCACCTCATAATTTAAGACTTTCTTGGAATCAACAAAATTGGATTTTTCATAGTTATTGGCACGCCGACAGCATAAGGATGGGCCCAGTTCTGGACGTGCCACAATCAAATCATTTAGATTTCTTCTTTGTTGGGCACATATGTAAGCTAACTACAGAACAAAAAAAAAGAAAAACAAAATACAACAATAAACAAAGTAAAATAGCAAACAAAAGCAATTCCTTCCCACCTACCTTTGTTATCGATGTTGAATTATCCGACAATGCTTCTGTTAACTGGGCAAATGTCGCCTGTTCCTGTTGTATAAATAATTGTTCTTGTCTCAATGTACGTGCTAAATCCATTATCTCTAAGAGATTTCCTTCCGTATTCGATTCCATGTTTGTTGCCGCCTTTGCCGCTTTGCTTTACTGTGTCGTCTTGAGAAACAAGGAGTATTGCGCTGAATATTACAAAGAACCGACAAATGATTTCTCTGGTTTTGTTTTCTTTTTTCTCCTCCGGCCTTTATTAAACATTAAATATTGCGCGATACTGAAAGTAGTGAAATTTTAAGAAACTGTAATTACAGGCCAAATTATAGGAAAGGAAAATACAAATATACACTCGTTTGTATGTGTATAAATTATGTTCTAAAAATATAAACTTGAACTTGAGTGAGAGTGGTCCTCGGCGCTCCGGTTTTATCAAGGCCTGTCTGGCATTAGGAATGTAGAGGCAGAAACAGCAACGGCGACAACAACAACAATACTCTTATTAACAATAAAAATAATTACGCGGACGAAATTATTGTGCAAGGCGCTAACAAGTACTCCATGACGTAGATAAACATATTATTTTTCATATAGACCACGTTGGTATGAAAAATTTAGTGAAATGAGTAAAAAAAAATATTTCACGAGATTATTTCATTCCAGGGAATATATATGACAACAGTAGAGGGGGTAGAAGAAATTAGTTTGTAGGAAAGTTTAGAGTTAACAAGTAAAAAAATATTAAGTTAGGCCGGGTCGAACTTTTAATACCCTCCACTATTGGGTAAAACAATTGTTTATAAAAGTGTCAAGTGATCGATTGAAGTCTGTTGGTTTCCGTATACTCAAATGAAATACAACGACCGTTTTTATATTAAATTAAGAATTCACAAACGTTTATTAAAATCAATTATACGAGCTTAAACTAGTACGCCTTGTCAGGTTGGCTTCGTATCTTCAACTTTTTTACATTTTTAAAAATTCAGGGTTGTATCCGGGTTGCATGTAATCGTATATTTTCACATGTATGCAACAAAAGGTATCTACTACTACTTTTAACTTGACAACTCGGCCTTTCCTGACCTGAAGTCGTCCTCGGCTTCATCTTCGCTTGAAACATCCAATTCGGGGGAACATTCACACCATTTCTTCAACTTGTCGGAACTGAATACGGAACAGAATTTCCTATTCGTGATGTTTATTCCAGGAATGTCCTCTATCAGGTACCTGTCGTTGCCCAATACTCGTGCTATTATGTATGGACCTTTGTATTTAGGTTCTAACTTCCGGGATTCACCTGTCGCTGGTGGTTCATTCTGTATAAGGATCAAGTCACCTTCCACATACAATTTCGGATTCGAATGCTTGCTGTCAAATCTTTTCTTCCATCGTTCTCGTTCGCTTTTGATGTTTTCTGCGGCCATGATACGTTTTTCGTTGATGGAAATTTCTTCGTTTTGTACATCATCTTGTACAGCTGCTAACAATCGGTTTTGTATTAAGTCGGTGGGCTTGTAATCGAAAATCAACTCATTCGGACTGTAACCTGTTGTCGAATTTTTGGTTGAATTGATTGACCATTGTAAAACGTGAAGTGCCGAGTCCCAATCCTTCGGTTCTTCAGTGGTAGTTCGTAAATAAGACAGGATAAGTTGATTGACCCTCTCAACTTGTCCATTGGCTCTTGGTGTACGAACGGCATTCTTAATGTGTTGAATATTGTTTCGATCGCAATATTCCTCAAACATTTTTGACGTAAAAGCTGTCCCACGGTCCGAAATTATTCTTCGAGGTAAACCAAAGTATCCACTAACCTCATTTAAAACGTTGATGACGGGCAATGTCTTCGTATTCCTTACAGCTTTAATAACCACAAATTTCGTAAAGGAATCGGCGATTGCCACTATATGTGTATGACCATGCTTGCTTCTTATAAACGGTCCCAAGTGATCAATATGTACTTGCCTAAATGGTAGCGGTTCGACATTACTAAAATGTAGAGCTCCTTCGTGTTTACCACCTTTTGCCTTGTTGTAGCAACACTCTACACACGCTGCAATGTACTCCTTCATATATTTCCTCATGCGGGGGAACCAAAACGTTTGTTCGACTCGTGAGAGGCTTTTCTCCAACCCGTAATGGCCAATATCATCATGACAGTATTTAGCTATGCGCCATCGTATAGCCTTCGGTATGACCAATCGTAGTCCATTTTTCGTTTTCCGGTATAGTCGATGTTTTTCCAATAAGTATTCAGATTTTATCTGTTTCTCTTGCTCAGATTTCAATTCATTTCGCAGTACTCTCATAATATTCTTTATGTGGTCGTCGTTTAGCTGCATCGTGAGAATCCAATCATCGCTATCAATATTCATTATGAACCCTGCTGGTTCAATCTCCGTCTGTGGCTGATCCGGTGAACGGCTGAGAGCATCAACGTGAGCCATACGTGACCCTTGTCGGTGTACATACTCACAATCAAATTCAAGTAATTTCATCAGCCATCGTGCTACTCGAGGTTGTAATTCCTTCGTTGTCTTCACATTAGTAATTGCGGCACAATCAGTGACGATTCGGAATGGCTTTCCAAGTAAATATATACGGAAACGCTGCACCGTTTCAACCACAGCTAAAACTTCCAGCTCGTAACTGTGATATTTCGATTCCGTTTCAGAACAGTGGCGGCTAAAATAAAACACTGGTTGCCAATTACCATTACCATCGGACTGTAATAACACTCCTGCTAATCCGAGACTGCTAGCGTCCGTGTGCACCTCGTGATCTGCTTTCATATCGTAGATTGCTAAAACTGGTTCACTACACAAAATTTGGATTAAACTTCTGAATGCGTTTTCATGGTGTACGTCCCAACGAAATTTATTCTCTTCGCTCTTTCGTGTCAACATCGCAAGAGGTTTCGTAATGGCTGCATAATCCTTTACAAATTTTCGGAAGAAGTTAGTTAGGCCAAGGAATCGTCGTACTTCTGTTACATTCGTTGGTACCTTAAAATTTCTAATCGCTTTTACTTTTTCTTCTCCAGGTAAAATTCCGTCACGTGTAACTATGTGTCCCAAATAAGAAATCTTTTCGGCTAGGAACGAACATTTCGCCAATCGTAACGTGAGACCACATTTCTTAAGGATATCCAAAAATCTTTTTATTCGGTCCAGACCTTCATCGACTGTTTTACTGGGAATTATGACGTCATCCAGATACGCTAAAACTTCTCCTGGTTTCATAAAGCTTATAACTCGGTTCATCGTTGCCTGAAAAACTGCAGGTGCGTTTACCAAACCAAATGGCATCCGGTTGAATTCATAATGACCATCTGAAGTCACGAAAGCTGTGAACTTTTTCGATTCTTCCTCTACTTCAATTTGGTGGTAACCCATACGTAAGTCGAGTGTGGTGAAATAACGATTTCCGGCGAGTTGTGCAATCTGTTCATCCAGTACAGGCATAGGATGCGCTATACGTACGGTTATTCGATTCAACTGTCTATAATCTATACATAAACGGTGTTCACCATTTCTCTTCTCGACCAAAACAATTCCCGATGCATACGGAGAATTCGATTTCCTTATGATTTCGTTATCCAGTAAGTCTTTCACAATATTTGCCACAATAGGACGTTTGGCAAATGCTAGTCGATATGGCTTGCATCGTATTGGTTCTGGAGTAGTAACTTCGATTTCCATCTTCACTAAGTTACACTTACCCAATTCGCTTGACTTTTCTGAAAAACATTGTCGGTTTTCTTGAATGTTCAACTGCAACTTCTTATGCTCTTCAGATGTTAAGCCTTCGTTGATACTAATCGCATTTACGTTTTGCATCCAACACTCATCTCCTTCAATAATGGTGCGTCGACCTTTTTGGCATAAAACATCTCGACCTAAAAGAACATCATTCGGGATCATAGAATTTTCCACAACATAAAGGTTCACGTCGTAACTCGTCTCATCAATGTCAATTGGCACTTTAACCACCTTTGTGCACTCGTATTTGCCACCAGCAAAGCCATTTAAAACCATACTGCAATTTTCCGTTTCGCCAATTATCATTGCAAAACTTCGTCTGATCAGACTCCGATCACTTCCCGAATCAATAAATGCCTCAAACTCCTTGTCCTTTACTTTGACACGTTTACATAGTATTTCGTTGGACTTTACGCTGTCCCTTATATTGTTGACATTTGTGTTCAGGGTTTTTGTTGGACATTCACTTGCACCGTGTGAAGTCCGTTTGCATATCGTACATCTATTCTTCTTCTGTGGATCTGGGCAGTCTACGGCTTTGTGACCAGTATTACCACAATTAAAACATTTGAATTTATTCACTCTTTCATCGCTTTTCCTTTCTGGGGCAGTTCTATTTTCATTGCTACGTTTCGTCTTATTCGATATCGGGTTCAGCACTCTTCTTACCTCGTTATAACTACAGTATGCGTTGATGTCACTCAAAAGTTGATTACAGGTAATATACTCGTTAGATATTTTCTGCTTCAATCCTTGATCATTAATTCCGTTGACTATATGCCGTGCTATGGATGATTCATTTATATTGCCCCGTTTTCCAATAGCATACATTCTGTAATAATATTCCTGCGGCGTTTCGTCGAACTGCCGTTTTGTCTGTGCCATTCTAATGTGTACATCGGCTGCATTTACATTTTGAGGGAAATCTAAAAGAAATTTGTTAACAAACTGAGGCCAAGACAGAAATACCTCTTGCAGTGAGTCAACCCAATACTTGGCTGGGCCAGCCATTTTCTGTTGCACTGCAAATATAACTGATGCGTCGTCCCAGTTATAAGCTGTCTTCAATAATTCCACACGTCGCACGAATTGTGAAGGATTAATCGATTCTTCAGATGACGGATTAAACTCTGGCAAAAGTTGAATTATTTCCTTAACGTTCCCAAAGGGGTTGTGCTGAACATAACGTTGTGAAGGCTGCATAACTATTTCTGACTGCGGCGGCGCTGAATAGACACTTGTTGCAAATATCGGCGGTTGTAGATATGCGTTGTAGGGCTGCGTTGATTGAACATATCCATTGTTCGGCTGCGTGAACACTCCTGTCGGTGTTGCTGTTGTAAAATTCGAATGTGTCGTTATATGTGTTGGTACGTTGTAGCATGACGTCGCTACATTTTGCGTTGTATTTCGTGGAAGTTGAGCATGTCCGTGCAATGAAGGTGTAAACGTTGGTAAACCAGCAGAAGCACACGTGTGGACCGTTGGAATTGTTGACGTAGTCTGAAATGCACCCAAA